CAATTTATCAGTCCCACACATTTTGTTGAGACCAATGCACAGCGGATGTCTTCAGAATCCTCTGTAAACCTCTTCCCATAGGGATCCTGACTCAGTATCCCTGTGATGAACACTTATAAAGTTACTCCAGGTGATTCTGATTCCCAGCCCACTCTGGGACCTGCTGGTATTACTAGCACAGAAAGAATGAGCACCACACGGGCAGCATCAGGACGTGCAGCATCTCCTGGAAGAACAATTTCTAACATCCTCCAGCATTTTTGGCCACAGACAGCTGCTTTGAGCAGAACTGAAAAGAATCCTGATACCACCAATTCATTCACTTAAGCTGGTTCTGAGCCCAGAGCTATTTCCTTGACATCACATATAAATTGGTTCTTCGGAGCAGTTCAATTTTCATGGCTATACTGAATAAAATACATGAGTAATATAATAGATGACTTTTTGAGTGAAATCTCTAATCACAAACTTCCCTTACCATTTACCTTCAGAAAAAAAAATCATAGCAAATGGCTATAAAACAAAGAAGGAAAGCAGCACTCCCAAAGTTTGCCACTTTGGTATTTTTACTCTACCGTACAAAGACCTAAATGCCTCTCTGCTCACAAAATGTATTATGTCACTGTGCTACTTCTGACAATAACAGATTGGTAACAGAAACATCAGCGTTTATAGGGAGTAATATGCTTTACAATGATATAATAGTGTGCTTTCAAAAATGTATTTTGCTTAAAAATATGGGTAAATGTACTTACCCTTTGCAAGACACTGCAGAATCATAAAGTGTACTTACATTGTTGAAGGATGTTTTCAAGTTCTTAAAACCTAAATACAGGATATTTCCAATAATTGGCAGGGGAGTAGGGCCAGGTGGGAGCTTCCTTCTCACAGAGCTCTGTCTCCAGAGTGAAAGCAGAAGCAAACAGGAGACACAGAGCACCAGAACCACAACTGGATCCATTGATGCCTTCTTTTCTTACTACGACACTGGGTGCTTGCAATCCAAAGCTTTTATAACACTCCCTTCTAACTTAGTACGTGCCTCTCTGGCACATAAAGTGATCAGTAAGGTAGATCCACTTGTACGCTGAGGAGTGGACCTTGATTCGATGAGAGATAAAAATAGAATGTTCTTTAGTCTTGTTGTCCTTATCAGTGCTCAACCTAGACATTCCGGCTTAAGTGTACTGAGCTGGAACCCACATATCAGTAATTGATAAGCAAACTTAAAAGTTCCCAAAGCCAGATAGCTCCAAAGTGCAGACATGATTGAGAAGCTCTATCGTAAGTTGCTTTATTCAAGAAAATGACACAGAATTCTGGATTCTCAGATGAGTGACCAGTTGGGGATTTATGACTTGAAGGGTAATCAGTGTTTTCTGTGCCTTGTATATAAAAAATGTGCATTGTAATGAGATAACAAACACTAGGAGACATTGTCCTTGACAACGGAAGCCTTTCAAATGTTTAGTATATTCTTCTAACATTACAGTTGCCTAGAATATAAAGTAAATAACATAACTCATACATCTTAAGTGAGCAAATACATATGAAGATATTGGGTAATAAATTTACACACCTTTCACCATTAAATCTAAAATCTAAACAACAGAAGGCAGATATTATTTTATTTTTAAAATGGGGGAAGGGAGACTGGGAGAAGAGGAGACCTGTCAGTGTCACACAGCTCACAGGTGGCAGAAATACGATCTGAACTGAGATCATCTGGTACCCCTTGTGGTGCACTGTGGCTTACACCACAACTACCTCAAGAAGATTTAGCAAAACCAAACCCCCAAAACATTAGTTACTCTGAATGTGCATCTCACTGACTCACTTCATAAAACAACAAGCTTCACATTAAATAGAAGCCCCTTATTTCATTCCAAGGGTAACAGGTCAGAAGTGCTCAAGAACAGAAATAAAAGATATAATTCTCTCTTTTCCATCATTGCAGAGATGAAATCGGCCCAGTGTAACTGAGGAAAGAGGCAAGCCCAGAGAATTTCACAGGGAGGGCTTGAGAAACGATGGTGTCTCCCACCTCCTAGTTGCCTCCAAACACAGCTACTCACAACAATTGTTCCTGGTCTGCCATTGTGAGAAATAATAGCAATTGGTAATACACATCAAGGAAGGGAAGTTATAGACAGAACAACAGTTGTGGATTCAACAGAGGAGGGGAGGTAGGGAAATCATTTAATGAACCCACAGCTCAGAACCACCATAATGTGCAGACTTGAACTGTAGATGAAACTTGGTGTTTATGAGGATCTAAATACAGGTGGAATATATACTTTAGGAGATCATTCATGACAATACTTGTGCAAAAGCATGTTGTGTTAAAAAAAAAAGTGTGTATTGTATTCTACATTAATATCTTTACAAAACCAGTACAATTATTTCTAAGACATTTTAGTATAAAAATTGAGACATGGTTACACCATGTTTTATTGGTCATGTTTATACGGATTTTGACAATTTACAGATATATGGAGAATTTTCACACCCACCATATCACTTTTGATTCTCTGACTTCCCTAATCCACCTAATTTTGGATAAAATAAACTCAGTTGTTGTCTCTAGAGCAATGATTTCATTCCTGGAGATATAGGTGTCTCTTTTCTACTTCTCCTCCCTTCTGTTGAGCTGAGGCTCCTGCCTGGACCTTTCTTTTTATAGAATAAAATAATCATAAATAATTTAAAGATAGAAGAGATTTCTGATATTAACTAGTCTAATCTTTGCTTTGTTCTTTAGGAATGAGCAGTTGGACACTGGGTGACATAAAGTCTCACCAATGCATCACTACAAGACTTTGTCTTAAAATGCTGGTTTACTGCTCCCAGTTCAGTCATATCTCACATCCATCCCATAGAATTCTGAACTCAGTCCAAATAATCATGATGTTAACAGTATTAAATCCTTTTTAGTCACAGACTAATGAAAACACCATTCTGGCCAGGGTTGTGAATTAGAGCAGGTTTTTCTTTCCAATTAATAGATTTTTTAAGGCAGTTTTAGTTTCACAGCAAAAAATCAGTGGAAAGTACACACTTCCCCCAGAACCCATCCTCACACCAACCCTTAGCCTCTCCCACAATCAACAACCCTCACCAATGAGGTTCATTAGTTACAATTGATAAACCCACGTTGACACATTATCATTGACCAAAGTTTATAGCTTACATACTATGGGTGTTGAGCAATGTATAACAACATGCACCCACCGTTGTAGTATTATACAGAATAGTTTCACTACCCCCAAAATCCTCTCTGCTCTGACTATTCATCCCTCCCTTTCCCCTAAGTCCTTGGCAACAAATGATATTTTAGTGAACGTGAAAGTCCAGATCCAGCAACATTTGTTGAAAAACACACCCTTTCCCAACTTGCTTCTTTTTCAAAGATTTGTTAACTATATTTGTGTGGATGTATTTCAGGTTCTATTTTATTCCAGTAATTAATCTGTTTATTTTTTAACCAATATCACATGATCTTGATTACTGTAGCTTTATAATAAGTCTTGAGATTGTGCCAAGTTGATTCAGGTCTCTGACTTTGTTATTCTCCTTCAATATTAGCTATTCTAGGTTATTGTCCTCTCCACATAAATTTTATGATCAGATTATCAATATCTGAAAAAGAACTATCCTTCATTTTGATTTGGATTACATTGTATGTATAGACCTAGTAAATTTCCTTGTTCTGAAGATGGATTTGTGGGATATATCTGTAGCTCTCTACCTTTCTTTTGGTTAGTGTTAGTATGGTATATGTTTCTCCATTCCTTTACTTTTAACATATGTGAATTTACAT